ACCCTATTGTGACCTCAAAATGGTCTGATCTATTTTAAATATTTTGTTCCCCAGCTTCACTTGGATCAATCCCTTTTGAATTTCTGTGTATTTTTCTGATTATTTCTTTCAAAACTGATTGCCTTCATTCAGATTTTGGCCCCAGTCAGGTTTGATCTTTACTTCCAACTGCATGATTTTTTAAAATCATAATGAAGCAAGGAGAAAAACCTGTGATGTATTTTTCTCTCACCAAGCCACAACTTTTGATTCAAAATGCCCAAGACCATAAAATCTGTTCTATTCAAAGTTATTGTCAAGCTTCTATAGTGGTTTTCCCCCCTGATATTTACTTCACCATTTTTGTTTTATTGTGAGGTGTAATCCAACTTTTGACTTTCAAATTAAGCCTTAAAAAGAAGTTGATTTGGAAATTTTTGGAAAATTTGCTGTTTTGCCATTGGGAACTATTTTATTCTAAAGGCTATATTTAGAGTAGTATGTCTGCCAATGTCAGTTTTTCAGTTTAAAAAAATGGAAGGGTTTGGCTGATACTTGGCAAACTGCTCCTTCCCTCTTATGGCTATTTTATCACTATCTTTCAATGTCCTGATCAGATCTGCCTGTATAATTAAACTAATATAGTCCTTCTATTCAGGAGTTACCTGCTAATTCCTCAGAATTCCTTGTATCTATTTATTTATTGTTTGTCTATTGTTTTATTGTTTATTATTTAATTGTTTATGTGTATATTTTTTATGGTTGTCAATTTATTTATGTATTTATTGTTTACACTTGCTCTCAATATAATGTGTTTTTATGACCTTTAGCATGTGAATCATTCATGTAATGATTGCCAGGCATATTTGTATTCATCTAGGCTTTGATCTAATCCTATTGAAAACAAAGGAGATGCTGGTATTGGCTTCTCTCTGTTTTGGATCCTGATAAGTGACCTACATCACCCTGATTAGATATCTTAAGTTGCATAAACAGGATGGTCTCTTTCTTCAACATTTATTATGTGTGAATATTCATAATTGCTCATCAAATGAATTTTGCACAAGATAGAAGGCTTTTCATAATGGTCGTGAAAGCATTTTTGCCATGAATTCTTTCATTACACTGTTCTCATTTATTCATGCCAGTATTTGTAGCACCTTTTCTGAGTAAGGCCTCATGCACTGGAGTGTTTGAGATCAAGCTAATGGAGAAAATATGAAAAGAGCATATATCAGCTGAGCAAATAGCTTCTATTGCAGAATGGTAAATGAAGGCATCTGGGCTGTGTTTTTACCTGCTGTCCCTCTAACCTTAGATGGCCTCTTGGCATATACAAATATACAATATACAAATATATTTTAATATACAGTTATTATATAAATATTATATGTATGTATATATATTTATACATATGTGTGTATGTGTACTAAAAAGATACTGTCCATTAAAGGCTGAATTATCTTTTTATATAGACATGACTATTACATGTGGTACTTCAGACCCTTGGTAGGTTACAACAAAGAACATGATGTAACTTAATCTGTACAATGGTGAAAAAATAATTCAAGACTTCTAGTACATAGTCTGCCTTGTTGGCAAAATTTATCAGCCTTGGATTCATGCTTGGTGTGGCATTCTTGTAACAAATATATATATATACTTCATCTTGAGTTCCACTCAAGGATGTATGTAGGATAACCCTAAAAGTAGAGTGGAAAGCTGAGATGTCATTGCAGAATATTGCAGAATAGCACTTTCTGCTGTTGAGACTCCTGTAAACTTGGAAGGCAGCATTAGGCTTTCTTAGCTGGGCTCACTAAATTAATAATGAACTCACCACTTCTCACATGAGCTTAATACACCCTAAATGTTAGGATGTTCTTTTTCTGTTTGAAAGATTGGTGGCAGTAAACAGAACACAATTACAACAAAAATGCTAAGACTTGTCTGTCATCATCTAAAAATTGTCCTGTATTTTAAAAATGAAGCTGTTAGGAACATGTCAGTTAATGATGAATGTTCTATGATTTGAAATAACTACTTAAAAAATCTTATTCTCTTGCTAAGAATCCAAGCTGTTAATATCTATAAGCGTTGCAAAACTGGACTGTTTTTTTCCTTTTTAAAAAATATTTTTAAGAGATTAGCAAGAATAAGGGTGAGGGGAAATTAGTTTTTAAAGTATCAGTGGTTTCTATTCAATATAATAGTTATCATTAATATTCTAACTAGCAAAAATAAGAGAATCTGTGATTCTGTACCTCTTAATGGAACCTTGGGAAAACAGAGTTTCTTAATTCTAGTTAAAACAATTTTAAATGTAGGGGTTTCACAGATGCCTATCTTTCTACAGGTATCTCAGGAGTGAGCAGTGCCACTCTTTTTCCAATTGTCTTGAGAAAGGATAATGTTTTTTAAAGGGTAGAGGGAAACTTTCATTGCTTTAATAACCACCCTTTGAAGAATTGAACCAGAGAAAAATAGAATAACTGGGAGGCAAGAAGAGAGAGACGATGGTTTGGAGAGATGGTTTCTTGTGAGCTTTTAACAGAATCAGGAGAGTAAAAGGGGAGAGAGTGGCTCGCTGATAATTTATTACACCATCTTTAGCAGAAAAGAGAAATAAAACAAAAAAAGCACTGGCTGTGAATGATGTAGCATTTGTCACCTACTCAATGATATGAAGTGCCCAGAACAAAATTGGGAAAGAAGATGGCATTGTGTGAAAGGCTCTAGTGTTTTAGCTGCACTGTTGGGAGTTGAGAGCAGGTGAACAGATTGTTTGCCATTAAATTTATCAATGCTAAATGAATTTCATATTATATACCTGATAGTGATTCAAACCCTAGAAATATCCTAATAGTGTTCACTTTATAATACAACCACTCTATTTTACAATCTCTTTGTTTTACAAATCCTCTATATTAATTGAGGCTGAATTGTCTAATCTACCTTATTTCTTGTCAGGGCTGCATAACAGTTCTGGCACTGTTTGGGAAGAGGTATTTATAAGAGCACCAGTTCCTATCTCAATACTTATCAGCATGCCTTCAATCTAGAACTAAAGTATAAATACTGATTTATGGTAATTAATGTAGTATTTTCAGGTGATGGCACTATTTATCCTTTATTCCTGTCATTAAATACTCTGAGATTGGTAGTGTGGCTCATCTACATTTATTTCCAGCAGAGATTTGTCAAGGAAGTAGCCATCATAATCACTAATGAACATTTCATGCATATTAAAATTAGGCCAGTTTGAAAGAAGACTGGGTTAACAGATACTGTGATTTCAGAATTATGTTTTGTGTAAATCTTGGGTACCTGGTATTGGGATGTGGTGGTGCAGCTTCCCATAATATGCTGTATCATATAGATTCATATTGGTACTGTCCTTTTATTTGAACAGAGTTAAAAATTTTTTAAATAATTCATCTTAGAATATCTCCAATAAAAGTATTTTGAATTTCGAAAAGTGCATAAATTGACACTGTTGCTGAGCAGTTACCTGCTGTTTCTAAACTAATGCTTGTTTGCACTGCCTGTTTTTCATGTCTGATGCAAAGATGATGCAATATCCTTCATAAAAGAGAAATGTGTGTCATTCAGCAGACTACATATGTGTATGTTTCTCCTTAGTACTGAGGGTATTCCCAAGGGGACCTCTGGCCCCTATTGAGATTGAACCCTTTGTCACTGCACCACGTAAAACTGTAAAAGAAATTCATATTCTCAAAGTAGAAAAAAAAAAAAGAAAGAAGTAGATGTTTTTCTATATTTCCTAATATCACACAGTGCTTGCTTTTAGTGCCCAGACCTCCTTAGTCCCTTCCTATATCTCCCAGATGCATAATTTTCCTTAAGGACTTAATTAGAGCATTCTAAACTTTCAGGTAAACCCTTCTCTGTGCAAACTGATAATCCCTGAACTATGTTTATTATTACACTAAAACCATGTGGCTTTTCAGTACTTGGACTCCATGGAACTCTTACTAGGACATGTTTAGGATTCTATGAGGACACGTGGTTCGATTAAATATTACATGCATTGTTTGGAGAAAGTTATACCCACAGAGAGTAGCTTTGGAACATGTACATACATTATTTACTGATGTATGTGCCATGTTCACATTCAGAATGGCCTAATTCAACATCTGCTCCTGATGAGAGTGAGCATCTGGTGTTTCACAGATAATTGAGACATGATTTGACTGTCCTTTAGGCTGACCAGACAGACTGGAACCAGGCTCTCCGGGTGGATGGTAAGACCTGGTTCATGCCAGGTGAAATTCTGATCACACCTTTATGGTGGGTTGGGATCAGAATAGGTTTTCATTGGTATAACCTCTATGCAAGCAGAAGTACTTCAGTACTTCACAACTTCAGTGTTGTGCCCCAGGATCAAAAGGAACAAGAGAGATGAAGATTTTTCCAACACAAAAGAATACAATGGGAAAGTTCTTGAAACTCTATTCCTGTTAAACCTTTTTCTCTAATTTACCTGTATGCATCTATGCATGTGTATGTTTGTGGATGTACAAAAGCAGGGAAATTATTTTTCTCCTGGCACTTGTTTTACATTCTTTCTGTAGGACCTTTGAAGCAGTTATAAGACAAGAGTCTGCAGAACTGCAATACAATTGCAAATATAAGCAATACATTGCAACTTCAAGCTGCAATGCCGAGCTGTGCTAGTCTGCTTAAACGATGGCTTGTCCAGAATTTGCTGGTTTGATAGGCCAGTTGCATTTATGCTCTTCCTTTAAAAAAGAAGTAAGGATGGGAAAAAGCAAGTCTTAATAATCAAATTAAAAAGCATATCCCTCCAGACTCCATCAAAATCCTTACAGGTGTCCATCAGAAGCAAACAGCATAAACATTGTCTCCATCTACTCCTAGAAATATTGCAGTCTCCAGAAGTTACACCATTGTGATTTCACTTCTATTCAGTGTTTGCTGCATTTCATTGCCTCTGGCAGACCTGTTACCTGCATAACCATGGGGTTTTTTCCTGCCAGGCATTATCAGCCGTCAGGAAGCAGAGGAGTTGTTGATGAATAAATCTGAAGGCGCGTTCCTGGTGCGAGTCAGTGAGAAAATCTGGGGCTACGCCTTGTCCTATCGCCAGCAGAATGGCTTCAAGCACTTCCTGGTTGATGCTTCGGGGGATTTCTACAGCTTCCTGGGGGTAGATCCAAACCGACACCCAACGCTCACAGATCTGATTGATTTTCACAAGGTAACACTTGCTAGGTGGAGATCAATAGCTGAGTGGAATGGATTAATAATTTAATGAGGAGCCATGTAGTTTGAAACCACACTGGAAAATAGGAATGACCAGAGCGGGAAAGAGTATTGCACACTAAGCCCAGCTATAACATTCATACTTCTGTTGCAGTGAATCAGAAGGCTTTTCCCCTTGTTTCAAATGCTCCAGTATGTACTTGTGTCCCCTTATAAAGTGTGTACTCTCCTTGGCTACAAATGGCCTAATAAGGGCTGACAGATGTAACATTTTGTGAGCCTTTTTGCTGTGGAAAATTGGATTGGAAATACCATAGAAAGGTCTTTCAATGAAATTTCAGCATTTTTCTACCTTTGATGTGAGGGCTGTAATGTGCAAAAGCAAGAGAACGTGACCCTGCACTAAAGAAAGGAATATGGAGGGGCTCTCTTTTAGGGATGTATTAAGGGTCACTCCTTATTACCCAAAACAATCTTGCAAGAAGAATTTACTATTCGATTTTAGATGGGTTTGAATTACTTTACCTCTAGGTTCTGTTTCTTGTTGCCAGACTGTAACTAAATAGTAGCACTGTTTCTGAAAGCATAAACTGTTTTCATCTCGCATCTCTCCCTATCTTCATCAGTTTTTATTCTATTTTTTTCTTAGCCACACTTATAATTCCTCTCCACTCTTTCTTTTCTAGCTCCCCTTCCTATTTTATCATTTTCTCACTCTTGTCTCAGAGTAATTCTATAAATATTTTACTCCTCCTTTTCTTCACAGCTTTTAATTTTTAAGTATTCAGTCTCAGGTTATTTTTCTTATAAGTTCCCTGTTTTTTAAATCTTGCTTTTATCTCACTTGTTTTGCAGCATCTGCTTAGTGTTGCCTCAGTGTCCCCTCAGAGATCATTAGAACATTAAATATCCACAAGCTATATTTCCACATGAGGAAATGATAGGTGTCACATTTGACTAAAATATATGTCCTCCCCTAATTTAAATAAGACCTTTCTCAGTGGCCACTCTGGAAGTGCAAATCCCTGACACCCTTCTTGTACAGAATATCCTGTTGGCCAAATTGGGTTAACCAGCTGGGCTGTGTCCCCTCTTAGTTCTTCCTTATTCCCAGCCTACTCTGCCAGCAGGGCCTGAGTGGGAAAAAGAGAAAGCCTTTGTGCTGTGCAAGCACTGACCAGCAGTAGCCAAAACTGTAGTGTGTTATCAACACTGTTTTAGCCACAAATTCGAAACACAATGTCACAACGGAGCAGCTGTGAAGTTCCATCCCAGCCAGCCAGCCCCAGTGCACCCGGAAAGAGTCTAACCAGGGTTTTGTCAGGGAAAGAAAAGCAGACATACAACCTCAAATGCAGATTATCAGGTGTTGAATGTGGAACCTCTGGCTAATGTAGTTTCCCCTCTACCCATTTAAATATTTTCATCACAGCTCATGTTAGGCAATCACTGTATTAGAAACACATCTATTTACAGACAGCAGTAGAACACTTGTCAGAAGCAGAATGGCTTTTAGTTCCTGACATTTAAAAAAAAGAAAAAAGCTTGCTTAGGTGTCCCATGATAAAAGCTAATAGCTACCCCTGTACTAAGCCCATCAGGCAAACCAGTTCAGCTTTAACAGCAACACACAGTTCTATTTTCCCTGTCTAGCTTATGGCTGTATTAGAACTGGTACCTTTGGCAATTGCCTCAGGAGGCATTTTATCCTGTCACATGGTTTTCCTAGAGGCTTTTCTGCCTGCCCTCTCTGGTGAAGTACACTGTCAATTGTCCCAAAGCCTCCTGGTAACCCCAAGCAATCTGTATGTGACTGGTTGCGCTGTGGGCACGTTTTCCCTTGCAGCTATTGCTATGTTTTGGAAAAGGTGCTGCTTTCCTCATGACTCTTTTTAGCAGGAGTATACTTCCCCACCCCAAAGGTTGTGTGGACTTTTTTTTAAGGGCCTGAGGAAGGCTGACATAACTAATTTTTTACTTGCTTATACTGATTGACTTCATTTTGTTTCATTTTGATTAAAAAACAGAATATTGTGTGAGTGTGCATCTTCTGTGCATAAGTGCTGTGAGTACAGACTGCCTTTATGTCTTTGACCTTGCTGTTACTGTTGGATGTGAGCACTCAACATTGAGCTCCTGCTCAGTCTGCCTGGGGGTAGCAGCATGGTAAGACTGGCATCAGTCTGTTCAATTAACCCATGAGAACACCCTCTATAAGTATCTGACTTCCTAAGTAGTGCAGCAACTTAGAAGTAGTACAAATCAGAGTTTCTTGTGTGCACTGATTTCACCGTTTGATAGTAGCACAAGTTGCTACCAGCGTAAATAAGAGATAAACAAAACATGAAGAAAACTATTCATTTATAAGATCCTTTCACTGGCCTGTAATTATTTTATCAAGTGTTTATTCATAGTTGCTTGCCAGTTACAGAGGAGTGATGGCCTTGTTTGCTACTCTTAGAAAGTAGGTGTGGCTTAGATCTTTGATATTTTAATTGGTTTTATCATTCCAGGAAGAAATTATCACATCCTCAGGTGGGGAGCTACTCCTGGAGCCATGTGGACAGCAGAAGAATCCACCAGACTACAGTCCTTTATTTGAATGACTGATCCAGGACCAACAGGAATCCATTCTGGATAGCTGTAGTAATAAATAGTTACAAAAGTAAACAGTGGAAGTAGTTAACCCACTTTCAAAGCCACTAGTCTTGTGGCCAAAAAGTATCCTCATTAGGAGGCCTAAAATATTTCTGGTTTGCATCTGAATTATCATCATCATTATTCATATTGCTAGCACTTGAAAAGTGATAAATTACCAGCAAATTGCAAAAGAGGACTACTTCAAAAAATTTTCAAGGGGTTGTAGCCAATTGCACGGAATGCTAAGTTCCTGTCCTAATTTTCTCATGTTTTATGCTGCAAGAAGCATGGGTAGGAGCCATTCACAGAGTACTGTATGAAGTATCAGTGTTGGTGAACAGATTCTGTGTTCCAAAGCAAGGTTTGACAGTTTCTGTTGACAATTTCATTACTCAGTGGTGCACTTTGATGACAAGAGAAGAAGCCTTCAAACATCCCTGTGAAGTTTGTGATTGAGTATGTAATTAGGTGCAGCTTGAAAGTTGCCATTATGCTTTGAATTCAGGCCTACAGTGTTCCCCACAGCAGAGACAGAATAAAGTCATACACATTTTATTTACATTTTCATGAAGCCCAAAAGCCTTGGAAGGAACTTTACTCCTGTACAGTAAGTGATCAGTTTATTCTAAAGGAAACTGATTTGCTGCAATTCTCTCACTGGCCTTGTCATGCTTTCCACTTTTAGATGTGCAAGAGACACAGTGGATATTGCTAGCTTTACTTTGCTATAAGACTGGGTACTTCCCTTTTCTGAGTTATGAGAGGGTGGGGCTAGTGTATTTATACATAGAAAAGGTACAGATAATTACATTACCATCGTGCTATTTTATGTGTAAAACCAAGATGCACACAATGTGCTCCTGCTCTATTTACTATAAATACTAACCCCATGAAAATAAACCAGAATCCTAGATCTGTGGCGCTTAGTGCTTGGACTAGAAAAATGATAAATTCTCATCACAGTACACATAGGAAAGGCACAATGAGCACATTTCTATAAACTACTCCTTTGGGCAGTCTCTGAGCCCTGTGGGGTTCTGCTCAAAATCCAGGTGTAGACCCCTCCTGAACCTCCTGTAAATCTTTTCCCCCTCAGTCATTTGACTCTTGACTCATTGTTACCTTCTGTACTCTGTCTGATCTAGATGGTAAAATCAACTAGGAAAAGAAACTTGTCTTATACAAGCCAATAAAGCACACTAAACATTTCAGGTGCTACAACAGTAAATATTTTTGGTAGTAATAACAGTATTTTTTATAATTAATCTTATGGCTAGCTCATATTAAAGTACAGATTTTTGTACACAAGCTTCATTCTTGGTCAGGAACCTTTTCTTCTGTTAAAATTGGGTTTTGTGTGATTTAATCCATCAATGTTTGTGGCCCATGAAAAGAAAATTCTATTGAACTTCCCACAGAGGCAGCTGGGCAGTTTCTGTACTAATCACTTGGCACATTGGCTCAGGAGGTATTAAATAGTTACTGTCAGTGCTTCAGAACAAAGCAAGTCAGGACAGAGCAAATAAGCAAAAAAGATCTGCTTTTCCTGAGAAACCAGCTCTGCACTGTCTCCCTCTTTCAGAGGCATCTCAAGAACCGCCTCAGGTTGTTCACAGCTGCACAGGTTTTTCATGGAACAGCGTGACCTCTACTTGAAGGAGAATGGAAAGAGACCTTTGAAATAGTAAAAAATATAGGTATGCACAGACTTACCTCTGCAGTCAGAAAACAGTAAGTGACTGTGCAGGGTTAGACACCTAGGCATCTTTTCAGACCAGTCTTTTGCCTTTATGCACTGAAGAAAACCCCCCAGAAGCCGAGAACAATAATAAAAACCCCCATGAAATGCTACCTGTTCTCTGGAAAAGGTGCTAGGTGTGCTAGAAGACATGCAAATTCCAGTTTTTGGAAGATTACTCAACACAGTGCTGTGAATATACACAGAATATTGAAGAACTTGTTCCACATGCAATTCACATTGAGAAGCTGATGATAATACAGCTATTTATTACTAGTGACATAGTTCCCTGCAACTGCTTGTGTTTTGTTTAGCATTAAGAAGGCCTGGAAAAAATCGCTCTTTAGCTTATGTGTCCTCTTGTGATGTAATTAACATTATTTTTCACTTCAGAACACATTTCCTAATTAAAATTTTCTATTTTTTTTGCCTGAATTCCATCAACGTCTCACTCTAAGTTTTACCTAGCTTTAAAATAAAGCCCTTGTAAGTTCCCCTGCAAATGATATTACTTGCAATACTGCAATTTCTTCTGAGAGTTTTACTATCCTAATAAATGGCAGAATTCACAAGCAAAGGAATTGCTTGTTTTTTCTCCCTTAAGCCCCACAGAAATAATGAAAAGTAGCCAGCCAATTCATAGAGTTACCAAGAAAGAAATCTAAACAATATATAACCAGAAGCAGCTGCAATGAAATACGGTGCATGGAAGGTAAGTTTTGAAGGAAACAAAAGGAGATCATAGCTAGCAGAAATTAAAAACAGAAGCTTTCCTTGGTAGAGATGTGCAGCTGTTACCAATATACTTGAGGGAAATACAAGTGTGGAGATATTTTCTAAGTTAACAGGTGCTTCTTGTTGCCTAAGGGGGCAACAAGACAATAAAGGGACTATGAAAAGGTAGTCCAGTTAGTAGGAAGAATAAAAGATAAAGCAGTGAAGGAGCAAATATGGACAATTAAGAAAATAAGAAAGAGCAAAATGTGCTGATCCTGTTGTTTTGAAAGCATTTTGGATTTTTATTGGTCTGGGAGGAAGACCAGGCACTGCTAGCTCTTTTTCTCTCTACAAGTCTGGAAGATTTCAGCTTTGAGCTAAATCTACCTTGGAGGTAGATGTGACACCCTTGAATCTGTAAGAGTCGGGCTGGTCTGTGCTGCAGCCTTGAATGCTTCCCTCTGTCTGCCTCTCCATGTAGTGCTGGCTGCAGCTGCTCATCGTGGGCTGAAAAATGGTCATGGTGCTGCCATTTCCTTGGCTGCCAGGGGTACCTTTAGCTCATTCCCCTGGAACCTTCCAGTCTTGCGTCCTGACCTGTTTTTCAAGTGGCGACTATTGGTGAGTTGTAAGAGGGGCATGGTATGGAATTTCCTTATAATATTCCCTGTCAATATTTCTTGCTGATGAGAGCACCAGGAGCTCACTGAGAGGTCTGCTATGGTAATTGTGTTTCATAAACAAAAATGCCACAGCAGCAAAGTAAACTTTTAAACTTTAAAAGGAATTAACTTTTCTCACATCTGTTTCACGCCAACAAAATATGGCACACAAGGTCCCAAGCTTGTTTGCAGGTATCTTTGAAAAAAGTATCTCTTGAGGATTTATTCTTGCTTCTTCATAGATCCACAGATCCATCTGTTCTTTTGAATTTTTTTTTAATCTGTTATTGTACACAGACATCTCCATTTTAATAGTGCCCTCTTCTCTAAAAAAGAACAAAAAGCAAGCAAAGAAATTGACAGCAATCATTGGATGAGATTTCTAAGGCTACTCAAAGACTGTAGATTCCAGCTTAAGTCTTGTAATTAATGGAATAATGATGTAGTTTTTGTGTATGCATTTTTGCATATTAGCTTTATAATAGATGTCCTGAATTGTTCTTTTAAGTACTAAATCCCTATTATTCTGAACAAATGCTAAACTAAATAAAATAACACCTCCTTCAAGAAAGAGATACCTAAAAATTGTTTTTATGACAGAGATTCATTTTCAGGCTGAGTAAAACTATTTCCAAAAACCAGATTCAGAGGGAGTATTTCTTCTAGATTTCAGTTACCTTAACTCAAGTGAAACAAACTTATTTCTTGGCTGAGGTGAGGCGGTATTAATACACTAAGTACAGTAAAAATGTAGTAAAATACTTTAGTTTTATGTGAACTAGGAATCCACTTCTGCTCGCCAGAAACCTGAATACTGAACATTAATGGAGTTACACCACATTTCACTACAGTGTAAATTCTTCCATTTACCACAACACAAACTTGGTCTCAGGTTGACTGTGGTAGTTCACAGTGGGAGAAGCTTTTCTCTTTCTATGAATAAATTTGTTTCCATATAATTTACAGGTCAGAGCTTATTTTTCAATGATTTTCAAGGACTGACTTTCTTTTCTGTCTTATTGTGGCTTGGCTTTAAGATTCATTTTTACCTTCCCAAGAGGATGGGGTAAGTGACCTCTGTGAAGTGTGTCCATGGCCAGGCTATCAGTTGCAGAAGGTGGTGTTTGCACTTGACCAGATGCTTGCTTTATGTTTCCTGAGATCAATCTCCTGGATACATACTGTCAGATGATAATGATGCATAATTGATTTTTATAGCTAATTTCTTGCCATGCAAGTGCTGTGTGAAAGCATCTCTTCAAATATTTGTTTACTGCTAGTGATTAATCCTGTAGCTTGTATATTTACATGATGGCCTGTAGCTAATGCAAATTTTCTACTAGGCTGAAGCCTTCAATGGGTTTGGTTTTTTCTCTCTTGGAATTTCTTGCAGCATTTTTAAATGAAGGTAACATTTTATGGTATCTTTATTATAAAACAATAAGTGACTTATGGAAGAGAAATAACTACAAAACAGAACGGAAATTTAGTCTGGTCCTATTTGTGTCTTCATGATGTATGTACAAAGGAAACACTTGGCATGTTAATGTCTCCTTTAAAGTTTAGCTGCCCTTTCTCCCCTTTTCTCAGTTTTAATGAGAACAGTGGGTGGGAGAAGATCATAAGCTCACAAGACATTGAGAGAAAAGAGAGGAGGCAGGACTGGTTTATTCCATACAAATTTCCATATAACTACACGCAAAGCTTGGGTTAAGTACTTCCCGAGATGCACAGTGTACAGTGCACTGCAATTAGTAAGATAGCTGGCCTGTTGCTCTTATGTCTGTTCTTGATTCTCAGAGGCTTTTTGCTCATGATAGCCAGATGCTAATGTGAAATACATTTTTAGGAAGTCATTCAAATCCAATGTAATGAAGAAGAGTTAAGGTATATGTTTCATTATCATTTTTGCTGTTGACATTTTCTCTCAAGGAATCCCAGAAAAAAATAAAATTCTAACAGCAATGCATAAGTTCTGGTCTGCCTTCTAGACAATATCTCGTTACCTATTATGTGCTATACTCACATAATGCTACTTCATTTATTTTGAATTTCAGTAGTCTATATGCTATATTGGAATCTATCTAATATTTTTAATAAGAAAGTTGTAGAGACAGATGTAGGCAAGTAAACCATTCCGTGGGACAAAAAGTCACTGAATTCCAATTCTGAGCTCCCACAACATTTGCTGGAGTTCATGTGGTAATCCTTAGTTGATAAATATGAACATTTTTATCAGGGCTGCCTGTTGAAATCACATTTTACTTTCCCCAGAGCTGCTCTGAAATCTTCCATTGACACCATTTAATGGAGAAATGTTCTGTTTTCAAAATGCCAAGCATCATAAAATTGTGTCAATTCCTTAGAGTAAAAAATAAAAAGTAATAGAATTATCTAAGGGCATTTTTAATTGCAGAAAATATGAAAAATGTGCTCAAATCTAACACAGAAAATTGTCATATTTTTATTAATCACTGAAAGAAAATGTGCTACATTATGCTCAAAATTCAATGCAGATATTCAATGTTTTTGACATTTCATTAGGTATCCATTCTCTCCCTTAATGCTAGTTTCCTTTTAAGGAAGAATGAAAATACCCAGGGAGCAGTTACTCAAAATGTCAAACCCATTAAATATCTGATTTGATGATTGAAATAAATTTGTGAAGGTTTAAATAAGAACCCAGATAATTTTCTTCAGAAAAAAAATCAAGCCAGGAAAGTGAGTTCAGAAAAAAAGAATGGATGCATCTTGTCCACAATTTTGAGTATATTGTGTTACATGCTTGGATCCTTAGAGTATGATTTACATTTATACACTACTAAAAAGTCTGAGCATCAAGAAATAATTGAGGAAAATGGAATAATAAATAACATAAAGACCTACTGTTCCAGATTCTCTGAAAAAGGCTAATTCTATTAATGGTTATGTAAAAGACCAAGTCTATTCATGAACGTTTGTAGAAAAAAGAAATCTAATTTTCCAAGTTGTCATTGTGATCAATCACAATAGAAATCTCGTCCTGGATGAAGGTTTGTGATTAAGAAATATGAAGTTCAGACTATGCATTCAAATACCAGATGGAAACCTTTGCAATGTACCAGCTCCTTGCAAAGGTGAAATATCCCACAGAACAGCTGTTGTGGTGTAGCAAGAATGAGTAGCTTGGATTCCCGTTGCTCTCCTCAGGCTGGACTAGAAACAGGCACTTCAGAGTTCCAGCTCAGAGTTGTATCAGCTCCTCCTGCCAAAGACCACTGGTTATTTGAGAAGGCGGGATCAGGAGAGAGTGAGAAAACTTGGGAAACCTTGAAATATTACTATGAAAGGCAAAAAAACAAACAAACAAACAAACAAAAAAACCCAAAAACCAAAAAACAAACCCACATCCCCTTCCTCACCCTAGATAAGAATGAGTTTGTAATGGGGAAACAAGGAGGCATTGTGGAACTGGCAGACAATGTTTCCTGTTGGGGAGGAGACATGTACACAATTTGTTGAAGTCAATGAGACAGAAGTGGGGAATAAGGATTTCACAGCCGGGTCATTTTTTATTCATTCTGTTCTACAGCACTGCACATACAGCCATGAAGTGCTTGGAGTGCTAACCCATCTGTTCTCAGGAGCAGCTCACATCCAGTGGGCTAAAAATACTCGGTCTGCCAAGGAGACAGTCAAGGTACTTTGAGAAGTCTTGGATGCTTTTACTTTGGGCCACAGACAAAGGTGATAAATTAGGAGACATCAGGGTTCTTGTTTAAAATCTCTCTTCCTCTCCCGGACCTATTAATAATGAAGCAAGTTCAAAATAATGAAAGAGAAAACTGGCTGCTGGCTAAGACTCTGTTTGTAATCCTGGGTCTGCACCTGCCCACAGTGCTAAAGTTCGATTCAAGTTGCACTTCAGTAATTGATGATCACTTGTCATATCCCTTTATAAAGCTTTTTCATCAATGTCTCTTGTGGTTCATTTTCTATCAGCAGCAAATCAATGACATTTTAATGGAATAGAGAGCCTTCTTGAGACTGAATTATGTTGCTTTACCTGTTTTAATACCAGGTGAAGTTCTCAAAGGCTCGACAGATAATAGTTTTTCAGATTTTTTTTCTTTGATAACTTTGTTTCTGCAGAATGGTGGCATCTTTGTAATCAGCTCTAATAAAGATTGAAGGCATTAATGAACTTGGTTTTATTGTGCTGTTAGAGACAATGGAAAATGTGGGGCTTGAAGCTGATAGATCATTATAAATGCTGCAGCAGCGTTAGTAGGGAATACATTTAACTCCTGGATCTGGTGATTCAGAGAGAATCTGAAATAGTTTAAAATCTCCAGGGTAATGCAGTAATTAACCAGGCACAGGGAAGTACAAGGTCACGAATTGAATTCCCTTCTTGAAAGCTGCAGTGGGAGCTGTACTGTCAGAATAGTCCCACCCAGAGCTGCCCCGGAGCCGGGTCTGTAGGCAGGGATGGGCAGCACTGGGGCCGCCCCGCAGGGAATATTCCAGACAAGTATCAGTCAAACAGCACATTTCGCTTTTCCTCCGGTAAAATTCACTCCGTGGACTTGAGCCCACTTGAGCCGGTCAGATTCCTTGCCGGGCTTTGCCGCATGTCGCGGTTCGGGCGCGCTCCGCCCTTGCCCCGCTGCAGCCGCGGCCCGGGCGCTGTGGCAGCCGCGGCCCGGCCCGGCCCGGCTGGGCGCTGAGGGGCCGCGGGGCCTCCCTCAGCCGGCACAGCCTGCCGGGTGCTCTCCTGTGCCCTGCGGCCCTTCCAGCCTGAGCCGAACCACGGCCCGGCCCGGCCCGGCAGATGCCGCAGGAGCAGCCCGGAGAAGGAGGCTGCGGATGGAGCGGTCCCACAGGGACCCACGGCTCGCGGCTGAGGGCGCAGTCTCGCAGCTCGGCTCCGGGAAACTTTCCCAGCAGTTTTCCTCAGCCCCTTTAAAGCCTCATGTTTCCCGAGCCCTACCCAACACCAGCTCCCGAAATACAGGCATGATAAAATCGTGCCGAACAGAGCAGATAATTTACAAATCGACAGAATGAAACTGACAGGAAATGCCAAACTGTCCTGGTTTAAAGGCTCTTCACCTGCTGAAGAATGGGAAGCTCCAGGGAAGGGAGCTGCCCTTTTGTCCCTAAAGACAAGGAAGGAATCCTCTTCTCCAGTAATACTTGTGTAATGGGGGCACACCAATAGGTAAGATGCATTTGTTTGTTCTCTTGTGGCTTAGCTTCCCTGAGTTGCCAGTGTAACAGGGGTGGAAAGGTACCAGCTGGTTGTTGAAGCAGGAAAATCACCCACAGTGATTGCTAAGGAGGTGCGTGTTCACTGCCCTGATTTGTTAACCAAGTTCTGATGTAGAACAAATCTAAAGGAAAAAATTTCCAACAGATTTGGATCTCCATGAACCACTCCACACAAACCACATATTAGTTAAGTATCAAGGATGTTTACAAAAATGTAAATGTTTTCCAATTATTCCAATGGGTCTTGGGTCAAGCCTTGAATGCAACAGAAAATAAACCCGCCTTCTCATCTTCACAGTCACAGCTGGGGAACACATTATCAGGGCAGTTTGTGTTTCCCTTAATGGAAGTGCTTCTATTTGATGAAGTGTATAATTCTCTGAAACTGCAAATTTAAATATTACTACCACCTTGCTCCAGACAGCACTAAACACAATTTCAGATACAGGAGAGGGAAAACTGCCTGAAGACTTGGAAATGTCAAAATAAAGAATGTCCAAAATAGGATTGTGCTAGAGAGTAGAGAGACAACAGCTATGTTCTGGTTTGATTTGATGTGCTTTGATACAGTCTATAAACTTCCAAAAACTATTTAACACATACTGAAATAATGCTCAGAAATGTAATGCAGTAAAGCTTTTGTGTAAAAAGGAGTGTAAATTGCTATCAAGAATGCAATGTTGCCTGGTTTTCACAATGAAATTATTCTGTTTTGATTTTTTTGTCTAAAGTAATCTCTGTACGTCCTTTTACTGCAGAACAAGCTAGAGAACATCTAAAAGTTAATGCTTCCTCAAGTAGTTAAATTGAAATGTTTATGCTTATTTACTATTTTGTGAGTATTTTTCATGGTGGTTTAATTTTTAACAAACCGAGAAGTCCAATAGAGAAAATAAAATGAGGACTTATGGCACTGTAATTGTATTTTATGAGAAGCAGCAAATAAAAGGTGAAGAATCTCCTGACTACACAGCACAAAATTCAGGTAAAGAATTCTTTTGTGATGCAAAAGAAAAGAAGATGATTTTGACTCGGTGTGGAGGAATTGTGGCATTGTAGAATAATTTGGGGCTTTAGGGGCCTTTGGAATTCATGTTTGTGCTAAAATTTTAGGATGGTGTCTCCTGGATTTTCATGGAATTAACTTAATTTTCTTTAATCTTCAGCATCTGGATTTTCATTTTTTCCTTGTCACTTCACCCTCTGGAGGACCATAGCTGTCTAATTTATTGGTCCAACTAACAGATCTGCCCTTTTATTTTTATGAATGTCTTTCAAGCTGTCATTCCTGGAGTTCATTGTTCAGTGGAGCTTTCGCTGTACACCCTCTTTTTAAAAAAAAAAACTTTAGTTTTAAACCACAGTTTAGATACTCGACTTTGTTATGTGTGAGTATGGGCAAAAAGTTCCATTGAAAAGGCTGAAAAATATTTTACATACCCCAACTGGAAATTCTTGTCCATCTTTTATTTTTGCACTATTAAAATTCTTTATGTATTGTCATAGAGTAAGAGGAGAGTTGTTGATTTTGTTGTTTTGTTGAGGGTGTTATAATTGGTTTTGGTTTTGCCTAATTTAAAAAAAAAGTGATGGAACATGAGATGATTTGTTGAAGTGTTCATGACATTTCTTCTTTAAGCCTAATATATTACAGTGATTGTTTTTGTTGCATGTCTAATAAAATGCCTTTGCTTTGAGTTCTGTAACAGCTATGGACACATAGGTGTCCATGAGGTGTTGGGAGGTATATAAGAAAAAGAAAAAGCAGCCCATTTCTACCAAAGAATGCAAGGAAACAATAAATATTGCAATAAATACATGTATAGACAATGAATTTGTAACCAGCATCTGAGTGATGTCCTGTCTCAGGAAGGCAGGCAGACCAGAGTTATTAACTTCCTTTATGGAGAGCTTTCCTTTCAGGCAGGGAATTTGTGGTGGAAATCAACAGCTTGGTTACTGGTTTTCTTGTTCTTTCTCTTTCCAATGTACTTTGCATATTATTACACAACACTATGTTAAAAAAAACCAAAAAAAAACCCCAAAAACAAAGGGTTTAGTTGCCTGTCCAGAGCTGGGCTCCAAAATTCACAATTTGGTACCACAATAGAAATGGACAAACTGAGAAGTCTCAAATATTTTACATAGCTGTGTATGTACAACTTATGTTTAACACACTGGGAAAATTGTGATTCAATATAGTCATAAAAAATAAATCTTGAGCTATGTTGAGGCATAGAAATTTCTAGCAGCTCCTGTCAATATATTTAGACACAGATTATGACTTTTTTATCAATATTAATCATAAGGCTATAAGAGGAATAGATCATGACTTCTAGGACAATAAACAGCTAATAATTGTAGCACAACTCAGCCTGTGAACTGCCTCACTATTTCTTCATTATTTTTACTTCATTTTTCTTGTTGCTCAGTTTTACAGATTCAGGATTTTCTGCCACTTTGCTTCTTTCAGAAACATAGACATCTTCTCCTTCTTGATTCCCACTTCCTGCCTTTTCTTTTCTCCTATTTTATTTTTTTTTTGTTTTGTTTCTTACACTCTAGTGTTTGCCAGTAAGTTGTCACTGCAGTGCACCATTAAACTGTGCATAACACATTCCTTTTGCAAAGGTGCCAGAACAGTTATTGTAGAAAAGAAGAGAAGAAGACCTTGGATAAACCATTTAGTTAAAGAAAACAAAACCATTTCAGGCAAACTGAATTCATTCAGGTTTTATAGGTAATCAAAACAGAACTCTCTTGAAGTTTAAGAACAGTTCAGTGCCTCTACTTCCAGTCTCCCTTTAGGGCCTTTTAAAGTTCCTGGTTCTTACTAGTTTTGAGCTGATTGCCATAAGAATGCTCTGTGAGTTTCTGCCTGATCCAAAAGTCCTGAAATTCCATGCAAGTTTGCCTTTATCTTCCTTTTACAAGTTGTTAAATGTTACAAGAAGCTGTATAAAGAATGGGAAGTCTCAAAAGACCACCTTGATGCATCCCAAAGACCTCAATTCTATGAAGCACTTTAAGATGAGGGTCTGAACTCTGAACTTTTTGAGAAGAGATAATCTCTAATGAAAATGTCCCAATGTATTTTTTAATCTATTCTGCTATTTTGGATGCTAAGTCCTTTAAAAACTCTTCAGGATACATCAAAATGTCATCTTGTGCCGAACACCTACTTTTTTACCTCTGGATCCTAGCTTAAAAATGAATGCTGTAGAATAGGAGATCATTTTGGATTACAGAATAACTTCTCAAAATGTCAGTTGTAAATAGCCAGCAAATCCCTCATTATCAATAAAATGGCACTGATATGGAGTTAAAAAGTAATTTGTAATACTTCAAATCCATATCCTCACAAGACATTTATCTTGTAGCAGTCCTACCAGCACCAAGCAAAATACTGTTTAATGCAAGAGGGATCTTTGGGGGTTTTGCATGCCTAATGAACTAAAGGTTTTAGAAATTCCTGCTGGACGATATTAATAGTGTTTTAAATGAAACCACTCAACATTGTTTTAAGTCATCATCTCTTATCACTGTAATAGATATAAAATCCTTCAGTATGTGTTCAGATATATTCATTTCCTGGATAAGAGTTATTATTGTTTATGAAACTGCACTGCTCACAATACAAGCTTGAATGTTACTTAATTAATCTGTTTGAGGTTTTTGATCTCTGACTTGTGTTTAGTTACTTTATCCGTTCACTCATATTCCTTTATCATGTGTGAAGTGAAGAAAACACCTCTCTAGTGTTACTTGTGTGGAAATTGTAACTCAATAGGCCTAAAGCCAGTATTTCTTTGATGTAGGTCAACTGTAAAAATCCCATTGACTTAATTAGCAGAAGAGCTAGACCTGTATAAGAAGCAGAGAAAAAAAAACAAGTCAGTGGAAAAATAGTATAAAAATTTTATACCG